TATATATACTACCAGTCGGCCTGCATTGAAAACATCACCAGCAGTAATGCGACTTAAAAGATGGGCATTCTGTACCAGTCATACAGAGAAGACTGAACAAACCCAATCTGAAGTCATGTCTCGCATATTTTTACATGTGACCACAATTACCGACTGTTTTTATTTTATGATTCAGGTGGGGAAAATGCTTACATGAGAGACGACACCTGAAGGACTGTCGCTGTAAGCTTGTGGTAATGTAAAACTCCAGTTCCATCGCCAGCTTGCCATCAACTATAGCTGTGGAGACCACCAATAGATACTAAAAAACAGCCAGCTGCCGATGATACCGAAGTAGTAAACACGATTAGTTCAAAGCAAGGCTCCATAGCTCATGTTGCCTGTCACCTATTCGAGTGTGGCGGCTTAAAAACACAGAAGAGTGGAAGAATGGTGAAAGGCGACGGAAATCTACTCAAGGTTGGCAGTTAGACCTCAAAGTAAGAGTCCTACACTTCATACATTAACTGAACTACGCCCAACTCACCTGACACCTGACAACCTATGTTAGTCTCACGTACCACAATTTCTCATTTCTAATAACTGTTCTTCAGCATTGGATATTGCCTCAATTTATTGAGTTCGTTTAACGGAAAGACTGAAGACACTGGTGGCCACAACCAGAGAAGGGCCTCACTTGACTGCTAGACATCGGAGAACTAACCCGGATACAGTAAACAACTTTTCAGCAAATTCATTTGAAGCACGCACCTCACTGTGTGGAATAACCACAGGCAGACGCATTGATACCCCACTCATGGTCCCTTCAAGAAAGTGGATAATCTAAATGGATGTTATGGTTTCCGGGTCTCTCAATGATTCCCTAGCTGGTTCCAGAAGAAACTGATATTACCCACAGGAAATACCCATGGTCTCTGGGCGTTGCATAGACCGCTAATACCTCTTACCAGATTGGTCCATCGTATTTTTAGTGGATCGAGTTTTGTCTGTTCGCCTTTCAGCGAAGATTATCAGATGAACACCTGAGTCCATGAGTCCTGAATGTTGCATGCTTGAGCCTATTCATCAACTGATCAGATCGTTGCATTTTAGGTTCGCTGTCTTTTTCCGGAAGGATGTGACGCCACGATCAACTAATGCAGAGCTCAGAGGGTTCAGTTCTTTTTTTCCAATTTAACCAGTGTGGCGCTGGTTGTGCTTCCCTCGGTGGCTTGTTTTCTCTAATAAAATGTCCTTCTGGTGCTAATAAGGGCATTTTGGAAAGGGGTTTAGGAGCACCTGAACTGCGGCGGTTGATGATAGGATGAAAAGTTGAGGTAGGTTTCAAGTGGCAGTTATTACAACTGATGATATCTCTTGGAAAAGTAAACAATCTCAATGAAGGATATTCATAACAGGTTCAGTTGTCTGGTTTTAGCCTGAAGACAATCTAATAAAACCGATCAGCAGTGTTGCTCACATTTGTTCTTAGGATTGAAATTATCCTAAAATACGGAAATCCGAGCAGTCACTACTCAGTCATGTAAGAATGGATCGAATGTGTAAATCCAAAACCGAGGGTTCATACAAAAAATTGATGAATTTTTTTACCATTTCGCCTCAGTTCATAACCGGCGTGCAATTCACCAGAAACATTGTGGCTGAAACAATGCGAACATCACCGACGTCCGAACATAAAGTGCAAGTAGAACCCGTCGTTGATGGGCTGCCATCATAGGGAATTGTGGTGAGTTGGCTGTAGTTCTGACTTAGGAATTCTCTGCACAAAAAACCACGTCCCGAAATATTAGCCTATAGACCATCCAACACATTGCAGCCAATGCGTTCCACAACTGTGAGGACCCTCGTGATGCTGTGCCGAATTTGCAAGATCTAGGCACGAAAAATCCAGCAACGTCACTAGGAGAGGTATGGCCAAGCAGTCTCATATGCTCAGCTAAGGGTGAACAAAGTCGTAACGTGCGCGGGGACGAATTGATGGATGCTCTAAAATTCAGTGCCGTACGAAGTCTCATCGTATAGTGACGAAATTTCCGCAAACCAGCGGCCAAGATCTCAAAATAGGCCGACTGGCAAGTGACCAACAGCTAACAAACACACCAGAGCTACCAATACCTCGACACATTCCAAGTCCGTATTCACTGATCGTTAGCTATTGGTGGGTTGGGCAGGTGTGGAGACAGTGTCGAAAAAACACCGGAAAATAACGACCAAAGCTGTTCACGTGGGTATCATGAATGTGGTCATCACCAACACTCAGTCCTGAATGTCGAGGTTCTTGTTATCGGACAGTTATAAACAATAGGCACCACAACACGAGAATCAGTAATGTAATGTACACTGATTGTATAAAGTGATGCAGCTTTGAAAACACATTCCCCAAACTCAGAGGTGGCTATCACGTTTGTAAACAAGGTTCGCTTCAGGACGTATCCAAAATAATCGTTCAACCATATGTTTTATGTATGAGGACAATGCACGTTCGATTGAACAAATCACCGTCTTGGAAGCCGTGGTATTCATGTAACTAGCTTACCATTGGAATAAGAAATAGTGAGGTGAAGCAGTCTTTGGAAGGCGGGTTCAGTCGAACAATATTATAGACGAAAGATCATATTAACTTGCAGATTGGTCATTAAACCACAAATAGCAGGACAGCTCTAACGGTGACACGATAAGGCGAATCTATTCCAACCAGGTTGAAACCAATGGATACACCATCGCATGCAAGTTCGCCGACTGGGATTTGTTCATAAATCCCCCAAGTCATCCATCATGTTGCATACAGACAAGCAGAGTCTTTCTGAAGGAAACTCCTTATAGGCCTCCAGTCCTCAAGTCCACATACAGTTAAGCTTCAGGAAATTAAACCTAATGCCTATCATGAATTCATGTGCAGTTATCAAAAATCCGTAGTCATTTGTTCAGGCGCTGGTAGCTAATGCGAACGGTCGAAGGAGGAAACAAATACTCAAAGCTGTCTGTGGCCAGTTATTCAAACATATTTCTAGGCGAATTGCTATATCCTGTAACCAAGACGGCAACGTACGAACATGCAGAAGCAATTTACGGCGAGCCAGCAGGGGAAAACAAACATGAACCTCTCCAGTTTACTAGGCAGGCTGCGATCACCTTCAGCAGCATTTTCACCCACTGTAGACAAAAGGTCAGGACTGGTACGTGCCAACTTCGCGATGAAGTGCGTTTGCCGTTCATGATCCAACATTCCTCATAATCTGTGTCCTAGACGTCATTCATCTAGTACGTGTTTGTGAAAAATCACTCTTGCACACAACGAGGCGTCAATAGAAAAGCCCATGATAAGGAGCAGCAGTGAGCCAGTCAGTACCGTTAAAAATTGAGGCTCGGCCAAGCACCCGTCTTCAACCAACTCCTTAAAAAGACATGAGATTGAGCAGAAAGACGATAGGTTGATGTGAAAAGTTACCAAGTAAGGACTCAAAATCAGGGATGTGAAGTGCTTGGTATGGAGTTCAAAAAGTGGGAAAACAGCGAACTGATGAAGCCAAGAAATAGAAGTATTCAGCTGTGGTGGCCAATATACGAAAATCGGGATATACGGAAAATACAAATGCAGATATAATGGGTTGAAATTGTAAAAAAAAAACCGACATGAAGCAAATAACGTTTATTATATGACAGCTGACGGGGGTGAAGACGAATCCTGCTGGATAGCTATATCGGGATATGGTTGGATTCGGATGGCGCGCATTTCTTTGAGTATACAGTGTAGCAGTACGCTGAAGGTAGAACAAGTTTTAATGGTGACATTAGTCCAAGGAAGTGATCCGAGGAATCACGCTCAAACAAAAAGCACGAAAAGAACGTTGTCCTCGCTCTGTTCAACCCACAATTTTTAACGAAATATACAACCTACGAAGTCTGTTCGATTTTCCAATTTTATTGAAGAAACACAGGTCTTGGAACGATTGTTCTCAACAGCGTCTAACCGGGAAAATAGAAAACTAGATTAAAATGCCATACAGCATTAATATACTACTAAGACGATAAAATGATACTATCTGCCTGGTGATGGGGAAGTTTGACTGGTCGGCCAAAGCAATATCAGGACTTCCAAGGTCTCTTTTAACGACAAGGAGAGTCACATATAAGAATGAGGTTGCCTCAGTTGCTTCGAGGAATCGTTGGCGAATGGCATTCGACCGGTTGTTTGGCACTCGATAGAATACGCTGATTGACTCAGCCGAGTTGACTTGATGGTCTGAATCGATCAAATGACTGACAATGGCGCTTGTCACGTTTAGCAGTCTCAGTTTACGGTGGATCGATAAGTGCTCTTCGCTTCTCTAGAGTAAGCGCCGCGAGGTTTGATCCACATTGTTTGCGAAATTCTCAGTGACCTTTCTGCAATTAAGTTGTTAACGTCCATTTAATGAAATTACAGTAATTTTAATGATACCCTTTGAAACTCCAAATCCTGCGATAGTCCTTCTGCGAAAAAAAAACAGGGCACTCACACCAAGGACAATCCGTGGGGATCAGCCAAAGCTGTCACATCCAAGGAGCCCTTATTCGGAAAGACCGATCGAGTCTCACACCGATGTGAAAACTGAATGACCAGTGCATCAAACTATTCAAACTTTGAAAAAGTGATATTTGGTTGTCTTATCTATTTAAGCCCATTTAAAGCATTTTCTCCGTCTCTCCAAAACGCCCACCTTAAGCGACAACTTGGTAATTCGGGCAACCTTATGGAGGGAATTTTTTGGGGTTCCGGGAATATCGTATTGCATTTGCCATACCCTATTGCCTCAAGAAACTGACGGATTTATCCATCACAGAGAGAACATCAGCGATGGCGTAATTTTAGCCAAAAATTCCCTGATACACCAAAGCCGAGATAATGGCCAACTGTCGTGTCTCCAGTAACTGCACATAATTAGCAACGGAGACGTTTTCTTTTTCCTCAAAGTTGTGTTCGCTGTTCGATGGTTCAACTAACATTCCGTAAATGGCAAAACTGACCCGGTTCGGTGTTTTCCTACTTCTGATTAACCAGAACAATTGCGCTGTGTTTATCTTGATTGCAAGGCGCAGTACGGCTCAGCAGGATCCGTCTGTAATAAGCCATCATACTACTGGTTAGGCTTCCGCATTATAGCGCAGATTCGATGGAACGCTCGGAAGAAAATAAGCTGGCCTACATCTATGAGCCTGAGTGGAGAGTGCGCCTGACAGTAAGCCAGATTGAGGTTTTTGTTTACTTGGAAAAGTGAGCCATCAATTGAACTATTGGAGACTTGGGCACTCAGGCCTTGATCGATGGTAAAACCGGAGGTGAGATGACATCCTTAAGCAATATACATACCTGTTCTTTTTAATTATCAATGGAAATAGCTCTTCCGTTAGCTACTTATTACGTTCTACCAGTTTGTGCGTTCACGTCAATGTAGTTACTTGCTTGCTGTTCAGAGCCTAGAAAGCGAAAATCGATGTGTATTCTGGTAATCGATCGTTACACAAGAGAGTTCAGTCATTTTCTTATGGCTAAAGAGCCAAGCGTTACCAACTTCAATGATATGTTTTACTCAGTCCAAGAGTGGTCTAAAACGGTGGTCGGAAACCAAAAGTGGACGTTTTACTAACCAACCAAAAGAAAAATATTACACCTCGTTATCTGCCGGCTGTATGCTAGATATTTCTTTGCCTTCATAGCCTCAAACTGCCAGATTGAGGCATTTCCTTTTTTCTGAGTTGAAAAACTCTCATTTTACCTTGAATGAAAAAGGAACGCCCCCCTCAATAAACAACGGAACAGCCATCACACAACCACCTTCAAGTGTACTAGTTGTAACCGAAGAGATTACAGTTGGGCTCACGACACAGTACGAAGCAAGATTTGCTGCACTCGAGACAAGCCATGTGATCGTTTCTATAAACAGTGGGGAAGTTGGTCACACTCATAATTCGGTACCGAAAATGCGCACCGGAGTTCATAATGAGGATAACACTGAGGTTCCTCCTGGCTTAACAGGACTTGAATGCTATGCTATGTAGTGTTCATTTCATTAGCCACTGAAAAAGCGGTTCCTATTGGGAGATAGTAACCTAGATTTTCCAGCCTCTCTTTGAGAAGAGAGACGTCCGGTGAGACTCTAACGAATCAGACCAAGTGATTCCTTTGGAAATTAGGTCCGTACTCGATGGGGACAAGTGTGACCCTGAATCAGTGCAGAAGCCCATTGGATTTCGCCAGGTTCTGCATTTTGAAACTCTAACGTGAGTCCCTGAAAAAATCGGCTAGAAATGAAAAGAAGCCTGCCATGAAGCCTCGAATACTCTAAGAAACTATTTGAGTCAATTTCTAGCTTACATGACTGTTAAAAATGCAATTACATGCATCTATTGTAACTTGCCTGACTCTCTTTATGCCCCCAAAAATCCCTAAACCATAAATAAATTGAAGTAATGGATAAGCAAATAGGCAAATAGATAAAAGTGCAAATATCCAGTGCGGACTCTTAATATAGCATTCACCGGGCAGGCATAAGTATTCAATTCAGTTCAGTTCAATGTACCAGCGATGAACCGTGCACCCTAGGCGCACTGATTCCATCTGCCAGTTTCGACCATTAGAAAACGGGAGTGTGGAACATAAATCCAAGCCTTGGAGGCGATAGCATGTTCAGGCCGTTCAGAAATTGGAAAGCTACGCATTGAAGGCGACAGGCTTGATGCATGAGCGCCCCTAATGCGCGACTGGGCCATTTCTGCCAATGTCACTAACCATTGGTGAGTTGAGTTCCGGCGTCCTCATCCAGGGAAGCGACATTCGCCGACCCGACTAAGCTTACTGGTTAGTGTTCTCGTACTTCGTTACTAGGTTACACACTGTCCACCTCCCGGTCGCTTCCACTCAGCACAGAGTTGGGCGAAAAGAGCTCTGAGGTACAGACAGTCTTTTGGCATGCGAAGTACATGTGCTAAACAGCGCAACCCGTGAAGCGTGAGTACTTCACCTACCTCGGGTGTTATATCTG